CCTCTCTCAGGCTTCTCTCTGGAGCTCTAGTAACAACAGGTCTGTGAGCCAATCAGAAGAGAGGAGGCTCTGAGCCTCTCTTCTGATTGGCTGACTGTTTTCTGAGTGATCCAATAAAAATATAGCAGATTTCAGGTAAAAACACTCAGAGAAACCAAATCCTGCAAGGTTTGGATGGTGGGTCCAGGTGGGCGGGGCTTGGTGACTGCTTTGTTGTGACATCACAAAGTTCCAGAAGTCCTGACGGCTGGTTTTAAGGCTCAGTTTCTGAATACAGGCTGTGTGCATTTCTCTGTGGACTGAGGCTTTGATACTTTCACAGTATTAATATAGAAGCTAGAGCTGATCTATAATCACACTACACATGGACACAGACCTTTACACTGGAGGAGCTTTAAAGGTTAAATCACTGCAACCGTTAATTAAACACTCAAAATAACAAATACATCAGCTAAGCAGGTAATTAGGTCACATATGCTGTAATTACTGGTTATTACTTAGTAATTATCAATAATTTAAACGATAAATTTACATTAAAACTATTTGACCTTGTGTCCTGTAGGTAAAAAATTATAATAGAAACTTTACTCATTAAATTACATCACTCTGCTTTCCAGTCAAAAGAGCAACATCATGAAATCAGCGAGACAGAAAAGGAGAGGAAAAAAAGGTGGAGGTATCAGAGGTGAGATGAGAAAGTGTTTTGTGTGAACATGTATTTTTAATGAGCAGGTGAGGACGTCTGCGCTCAGTCTCCTCGTGTCTGAAAAGGTTCAAAGGCTCAAAGAGTCGCAGCAGGACGAGACCAAAAGAGACCTGAGCACTATAAAGCAGAAGAGTCTGACTGATGCAACGCCATAAAGTTCAAGAGGATTTAATGAGGATGAAAAGTACACAAAGAAAGTCGAGGTGTCCCAGAGCTTCACAAGCGGCTCCGGTCTCCACACGGCTGTTACACAGATGTGTTCAGATAAAACTCGTGCTCGTCCGGTGACAGATTTAGTTTTAATCGGATTATCCGCCCCGTCAGAGTTTTGGTTTATATTTGGATCTGTGCCGCTTCTTTAATTCTTCCTTTTCAACAAGATTAAACATGAACAGACCCACTGTCGCCCCGAGAGACACAGAGGAAGAAACACCAGCACAATGAAGAAGCAGTTTCAGGACCACATTTCTAGGATCCTAGTCTTTCATGACATTGCTTCTGTACCGCAAACAGATCGTTCTAAACATGTGTACAACACTAACCCTGGACAGTTTGCTAGGTGGCGCTGCAGCACAAGATTATGGCCCTAGAGATGCAGTCTTAGGATTGTGGTCCTGAAGCTGCAGCCTCCAGTGTTTGGGGCTCCAACAGTGACGTTTAATTTTGACATTGAAAATAAAATTGTCCTGTCAGGCTTCTGAATGTAAATAAATCAAGCGCTTCTTTGCTCTTCCCATCAAGCCCCGCCCCTCTCGACACCAAAACGGTGACAGAAAGTTGAAACTGAAAACCAGCAACACTGAAGAATCGTGACTGTTACTAAAAAAAAACACATGAAGAAGAAATCTGAAGGTTGACATTGAAAAACATCATAATGCAACGTTTATTTGAGGCTGGCGCTACAGGCGAAAGGTCGAGACTGTCCTGTAAAAAAACCACAGGTCGTCTGTGCAGCAGGTTGTTATGACGTCATAGTCAGGTTTTGTTGCTAGGCAACATCTTGTGGCCATAGTGATGATGACAGGAGCGAAGGGAAAAGTGTCGGTGACATAGAATAAAGATGGGGGAGTCCACGTCAGGAGGAGGAGGTGGTGACCAATGTGACCATTCGCTGTTTATTATTGTAACCATGACAACCAAGGTCCGGTACACCTGCCGCCATAGGGGCGCCATTACAGGAGAGATGGTTGTTCGTTTTGGAGGAGGTGTTGGAAACGTCACATGATCATTAAAATCAATCCTGCTGCAGAACAAACACTTTGTTTGTTTTTATGAATTTCTTTTAAAATTTTCTGGAGTTTTGTTTTTGAAATCTTTTTATAAACCAAAGTGTCAGTCAAAGCGGAGAGGTCGAACCTGCTGAGGAACGAAAGGTGGGATCAGCTCGTTCTCCTCGACACGGGGTTGGTAAGTTACGATGGGGCTTTAGAACTGGTCTGGATGTTGTAAAGACAATCAAAAAAATAACTGGCAAATTAAATGATAATAAAATGAATCATTAGTTGCAGCTATAGATCAAATACCAAGCGCTAATTAGCAAATGTGAACATGCTAACATGCTAATCTAAGATGGTGGACACATTGTCTCAACGCGTTAGCATGTCACTGTCATTGAGATTTGTGCATTTTAAGTCTTTATGAATGTGTTTTGTTTGCAGTGATGTGTGTCTGAGAACCAACAGCCTGAAAATAAAAAGAAAAACTCAAACAAAATTACTGACGAGCTATAAAAATCCGAGCTCTTTCACGAGGCCCTGAAGGCAGCAATCTGCTCTGAAATGTCGATATCGAGGCTGTTTTTTGTTCTGAGCTGAAGTTTAGTCGTGCGCCGGGAGGAAAAACTTCCAGAAGCTCCAGAAAAAAACTCTGACATTAAGAAACCCACACACACAACCTGGTGCTGAAATGTTTCCTCTCGCTTCAAGACATTCACAAAAAATAAATAAATACAATGACTCCAGCAGCAGCAGAGGAGGAGGAGGAGGAGGAGGAAGAAGAAGAAGAAGAAGAGGAGAGGCGGCCGCCAAATTAAATTAAGCTAAAAGACTAGCTGGTCCGGGGAGGGAGCTGCAGAGGGGAAATGCTGAGCCTCCGGGGGGGAAGCAACCTTTCCATGCGAGAGGAGCAGATTAGGCCGGATTAGTGCATCACCACTTTACAAACACACATTCCACAGGAGCCGATACCAAACCTAATTAAATTTGGACAGCTGCATGAAATGGGTTTAGGAGGCTCTCTTAATGAATTCCCGCGCTCTCCATTAGCTCTGACATTCACACCAGAGTCGGCACCCGGCCGACAAAAGGCGACGGGAAGCAGCTTTTTCTCCGAGTGAGACGAGGTGAGAAGCAGCGGGAGCCGATATCAGAGAGGTGAGGCTTCAAAGCGCCGGAGGAGTCTGACGGAGGAGCAGAGAGAGAGTATTTGTGGAAACACAGAGACGTTGTGCTCTGTGTTCGATCCAGTTTCTCCCCCGTCACAGAAAAGCCTATCTGGGTCAAACTCCACAGCTGTAGTCCTCCAGAGTCTCCCTGGGAGCCGGGCTTGTGGGGGGGTGGGGGCTAGGACAATGGAGTAGAGTACCAATGTTTACCTGGTTACTTCCAACCAGACTCAGAAACATCTGGAACATCATCCATCTAACACTAAATCATGAATCAATACACCAACTCCCAACCGACTACGGCCTGGTAATTAAAGCTCCTCCAGTGTAAAGGTCTGTGTCCATGTGTAGTGTGATTATAGATCAGCTCTAGCTTCTATATTAATACTGTGAAAGTATCAAAGCCTCAGTCCACAGAGAAATGCACACAGCCTGTATTCAGAAACTGAGCCTTAAAACCAGCCGTCAGGACTTCTGGAACTTTGTGATGTCACAACAAAGCAGTCACCAAGCCCTGCCCACCTGGACCCACCATCCAAACCTTGCAGGATTTGGTTTCTCTGAGTGTTTTTACCTGAAATCTGCTTTATTTTTATTGGATCAGTCAGAAAACAGTCAGCCAATCAGAAGAGAGGCTCAGAGCCTCCTCTCTTCTGATTGGCTCACCGACCTGTTGTTACTAGAGCTCCAGAGAGAAGCCTGAGAGAGGAGATGTAAAACTACACTGAGATGGTTTTTATATCTTCTGATGGATCAACACTTCAAATAAAACACAGAAGAAGAAGAAAATATGGGACATTTAAAGGAATATTTTGCAGCAGCTGGTTAGTGTAGCTTAGCATAAAACCTGGAGACAGGGGGAAACAGCTAACCTGGCTCTGTGCAGAGGTAACAATATCCACCTCCCAGCTCCTCTAAAGATCCCTGATCAACACTTTATATTTTTTTTGTTTAAAGAAGCAGTTTGATGCAATTATTTTCGTTCTTTCTGAGACTAAAATGTTTCACACTTGTCCAGCTCATGAACACCAAACTGTTGTTTTCACACTGTGTTTCTCCGGATTAAAGTCAAAGACTATTAACATCCACTAGAAGCTGTTTCCATAAATCCTCAGAGAGATAATAACGGCTGTTTTTCTACCACAGGAACAATTTTAGGATAAATCAGGATTAACTGCATTTTCCACCAGAGGAACCAGGATCGAGATTCAGTCCAAGCCTCAAAAAGCCCCTGATCTGGGGGCAGCCCTCCCTGACGGCCCAGGAGGAGCAGATCCTGAGCTTTCAGTACTTCCTGATCCGGTACCTGTCGACTTTACCTGACCTCTAAAGTTCTTCAGCTGTGGTGCGAACTCAAACAGGAATAAAGAAACTACTACTACTACTACTACTAAACACACACAGTATGAACCACATATAGTGTCGGGAGAAGACGTGGAGAAAACACTGCTTTTCTAGAGCCGTTTGGAAACAGGACAGTGATGTGATCCACAGAAAATAAGAGGTGTGGGTGTTTTAACATGTATGACACACGACTAATGGATGTTGTAGTTGTTCTGATTTATATCCTGGAGCTATTTAATCACAAAGGGTATAAAAGTTCATAAAGCTTTTTAAAACACATGGTTGTGCTTAATTTGATCCTTTTTTAACTACAGTTATAAGGATGTTATTAGGACGATCAAAGCTGGTTCTTCCTCTGACTGTGTGCTGCACCTTTACTCTGGAATATACTTTAATACCTTCCACTCAGTTTGCAGATAAAAGACTTTCTTTTTAGCTGAAATAACGGAACAGCAGCTCAGGACGAAGAAGCTCAGACTACTGGCTACAGATAAGAGTGAGATGTGGATAAAGGAACAGAGGAACACTTCCTCTGAGGAGGGGAGGGTGTGTCAGATGGAAACTCACCAGCTGCAGCCAGATGTTGGTCGTCAGCACCTGGTTCTTCTCGTCCTAAAAAGAACAGAAGAAGAAGAAACCAGTGAGTGTGTGTTGTGTTTGAGGGCGACTCCTCTGATTCGCTGGTAAAAGTCTGTCCACTCTCTTCTTTCATCCCTTTAAATGAACTTGAGTCAGCGGAGGATGAATATGAATAATGTCAGTTTGATGAATGTCCGGCCTGTTAATATATTCACAGAGAATTAGAGGAGGCGGGATTGTAAGAGAGAAGGACATAGAGAGATAAACAATGCAGAGTTTTAATGGACGACTGACCTTCAGTGAGCTGTGGGTTCTAAAGCAGGTCCAGCTTCTATATTAATACTGTGAAAGTATCAAAGCCTCAGTCCACAGAGAAATGCACACAGCCTGTATTCAGAAACTGAGCCTTAAAACCAGCCGTCAGGACTTCTGGAACTTTGTGATGTCACAACAAAGCATGTTATATTTTCTTCTTCTTCTGGGTTTTATTTGAAGTGTTGATCCATAAGAAGATATAAAAACCATCTCAGTGTAGTTTCACATCTCCTCTCTCAGGCTTCTCTCTGGAGCTCTAGTAACAACAGGTCTGTGAGCCAATCAGAAGAGAGGAGGCTCTGAGCCTCTCTTCTGATTGGCTGACTGTTTTCTGACTGATCCAATAAAAATATAGCAGATTTCAGGTAAAAACACTCAGAGAAACCAAATCCTGCAAGGTTTGGATGGTGGGTCCAGGTGGGCGGGGCTTGGTGACTGCTTTGTTGTGACATCACAAAGTTCCAGAAGTCCTGACGGCTGGTTTTAAGGCTCAGTTTCTGAATACAGGCTGTGTGCATTTCTCTGTGGACTGAGGCTTTGATACTTTCACAGTATTAATATAGAAGCTAGAGCTGATCTATAATCACACTACACATGGACACAGACCTTTACACTGGAGGAGCTTTGATAAAAATTGAAATATCTCAAGGCTTGACTCAGGAAGGAAAGTTGGTTTGTGGGTAAAAACCAAGTTTATAATCATCAGTGGTTTTGTCACCACATGTGACACCTTTCACATTACAGATTGTCATTTCAATCATTATTGATGTGAAATTATTGATTAGTGCAGCTTTAAAGTTGATAAAAAGATGAACTCGTGCACAGACTCAGTCGTTGCAGTTCTCCTCCTAACTGTGTTTCTGGATTGATTATATTTTTCTCAGAGCATTTTTCTTTCCCTGATGTTAATCAGTTTGCAGTTGGAAACCTGTTCTGATATACGACGCTCTCACACTGTGACAAAGTATTTTCCCGACTAAAGTACAGAAATGATGCGATAAATTACTCCTGAGCCGAGGTATTGACCCTGAGCTCGAGTGTTTCATCATCGTGTCATAAAGGCGGCAGCAGCCTGGATGCAGAACTCCATGTTGGGGCGGCTGCAGGAAAACCTCAGCAGCAGGAGGAGGGAGGAAACTGGGGGTCAAACCCCCCCCCCCGGCCTCACCTGGGAGTCACAGATCGGAAACAAAACCTGCTCGTCCGGATATAAACCTCAGGAGCAACGAGGCAAAACGGCAGCAGCTGTGAAAGTGTGCCGAGCAGCTGAGCTGATACAAGCTGATAACTGCCCCCCCCCACTCCCCACCTTCCCACCACACAGCTCGCAGCCCCCTGACAGGCTCCTGTTAGCAGACCCGGGGAGGGATGATCTGGGCGTTTAAAGAAAAATCTCTTTTTATGAGATACTAGCTAATGTGCCGTGTCCTGACGTGCAGCCGCCGCTTCACAGTGAACGCTGTAGATCCTGTTCATAAAGCTCCTGTCATGTGACTGTCTCGTTAACCCTCACGCTCCACCAGCATGAAAACTATAAGACAATAAAACACCAAGTGATTCTGAGACAATAACCCCGCCTCTGTGTGTTCTGTGTATCTGCGACAGGTCTGTCCCAGCAGCTGCAGACGCCTCTCACTGTAATACAGCTGTAATGGATTCCAGCGGTGACCCAGTTGAAAGAGAGGAAAAGTCAGAATCTGGCGAACACACAGTTTCAGTTGTCACCAGTGTGCTGAGTGTTTACAGGGAGGCGGGGCCGCGCTCTCCGTGGTCGACCTCCTCTGAAAGTTAAAACTGAAGAGAGGAGTCAGGACGTCTGAGGTGTCGCACTGTTTCCACTGAAGTCACTGACGCTCTGTGATATCGTCATATTTAAGATAAAATATCGTCATTATCTTCATTAGTAATTAACAGTTTGGATACTGACGATCAATCAGAAGAAGTTTCTATCAGCTTCTTTATTTACTGTGACTTTGGGATGGATGATGGATGGATGAATAGATGAATGGATGGATGGATGGATGGATGGATGGATGGATGGATGGATGGATGTATAGATGGATATATAGATGGATGTATAGATGGATGGATGGATGGATGAATGATGGATGGATGGATGATGGATGGATGGATGGATGGATGGATGGATGGATGAATGGATGAATAGATGAATGGATGTATAGATGGATAGATGGATAGATGGATGGATGAATGGATGGATGTAAAGATGGATGGATAGATGGATGGATATATAGATGGATGTATAGATGGATGGATGGATGAATGATGGATGAATGGATGGATGGATGGATGGATGGATGGATGTATAGATGGATATATAGATGGATGTATAGATGGATGGATGGATGAATGATGGATGAATGGATGGATGGATGGATGGATGGTGTATAGATGGATGGATGGATGGTGTATAGATGGATGTATAGATGGATGGATGAATGGATGGATGTAAAGATGGATGGATGGATGATGGATGGATGGATGAATGAATGGATGGATGTATAGATGGATGTATAGATGGATGGATGGATGGATGGATGGATGGATGGATGGATGAATGGATGAATAGATGAATGGATGGATGGATGAATGGATGGATGAATGGATGGATGAATGGATGGATGTATAGATGGATGTATAGATTGATGAATGGATGGATGTATAGATGGATGGATGGATGGATGGATGGATGGATGAATGATAGATGGATGTATAGATTGATGAATGGATGGATGTATAGATGGATGGATGGATGGATGGATGGATGGATGGATGAATGGATGGATGGATGGATGGATGAATGGATGGATGAATGGATGGATGGATGGATGTATAGATGATGTATAGATTGATGTATAGATGGATGGATGGATGGATGTATAGATGGATGAATGGATGAATGGATGGATGGTGAGTAGGAATTCTTGTTGCAGCAGCTGAGCAGAAAATAAAGGAATAAAATAAAACCTGGAATGAGAAATAAGCACAATGAATAACAAAATAGAAATAAAATATGTCAATAAATAAATAACAGAATCTATTGTAACTGTTGTTAATTCAAAATGCTACATGCTACATGCTAAAGCTGCTGTGATCCGTTACGTAGGAAGACACAAACATCTCATGAGTCACACAGCCGCCGCACGAAGGAGGAACATATGAAATAATCATTAATCAATAATCATCATTAATGGTGTAAATCTGCAGCGTGAGACTTTACATTCGCCGTGTTTCCTGAGATCATTCACTGCGTCACCTGCTGAGCTGGGACGTCCCTGCCGACGTCCTCCTGCTTTCATAAAGTGTGGGAACTAATTAGACTGGAGCATTAGACTGAGTTTGTCGGGAGCTCCCCGGAGTGACGGCTTTCCCACATCGTTCACAACGACTCTGCCCCTTTAACTGAGTCTGCAGCTGCCAGACTGATGCAGACTTACATAAGTGGGGCCGCCCGTGAACACACTGTCGGGGGTTGTCAGATGCAGGAGGGAGGGGGAGACAGTGTGCACTGTAAGTGTCTGAAGATTCACCTGAGATCAGGAAGTTAAACATGGAGGAATCCTGCAGGAGCTGAGAGACGGAACAGAGCAGCAGCTGAATCTGAATCTGTGTCATTATCTGTTATTAATGAATAATGAAACACGAGGCTCAGTAATGAAGAAGGATTCAACGCTGTGAAGGAAGCTGTGTGTCAGAAAACCGATCCAAACTGTTTCACCATGAGACAAGTGATGAAGACCATGTGATGAATCAAAACACCAGGAAGGAAAAATGACAGATGACACAAGGAAAAGATGAGTTAGGAAAGATGATGTGACGATGAGGATAAATAGAGATGAGACTGGAGAAGACAATGAAATGAAATGAAGCATCGGATGATAACAGTAAAAAAATGAAAATCCTGGTGGACGATTAAAGTAAAAGATTAGTAATAACAAGGTGAGAAAAGGAGAAACGCGACAATGGGATTCAATTCTTATGTAATTATATGTATTAAAGCTCCTCCAGTGTAAAGGTCTTTTCCAGACTTCTGGAACTTTGTGATGTCACAACAAAGCAGTCACCAAGCCCCGCCCACCTGGACCCACCATCCAAACCTTGCAGGATTTGGTTTCTCTGAGTGTTTTTACCTGAAATCTGCTTTATTTTTATTGGATCAGTCAGAAAACAGTCAGCCAATCAGAAGAGAGGCTCAGAGCCTCCTCTCTTCTGATTGGCTCACCGACCTGTTGTTACTAGAGCTCCAGAGAGAAGCCTGAGAGAGGAGATGTAAAACTACACTGAGATGGTTTTTATATCCTCTGATGGATCAACACTTCAAATAAAACACAGAAAAAGAAGAAAATATAACATGCTTTGTTATGACATCACAAAGTGCCAGAAGTCCTGGCGGCTGGTTTTAAGGCTCAGCTTGGATAGATGGATGGAACATATGGAGCTTTAAAAATTTAAGTTTTGATTAAACACGAGAAAAATTGAAGTTAAAGATTCATTAGAAGAAGACAGTAGAAAAGGGTGGAACTAAATCAGGGTGAAGAAACAGAACAAAACAATGAGTAAAGATGAAGTGAGGTCATGAATCCCGAGACTACAGAGTTTGTAGAAAGGCTGAGTCACTGTATTGATCAGGGTCTCTCAAGCCCCCACAGAATATGTTGATTCTGTTCTGTGGAGCAGTGAGAGGATCATTAATTAACCCGATCAACTAATCAGCGTGTTGTTTGTTGTTATGGAGACTGATGCTGTGTCTCGTGTTGTTTCTGAGCTGACCGTCTCTCTGCTGTTTGACTCACATCTCTTCGTCTTCTCAGCAACTTCTGTCGGAGGTGTTTGATTTAAAGAGAACGGGCGGTTCGAGGGGGGGAAACCTCTTGACTCGACCCTGAGCTGCACAGACAGGTTGATATCGGGGAGGAAAATGTGGATGACAGGAACTTCTCCTCCAGCAGTGAAGCTGTCAGACGGCAGACAGAGAGTGGGAGAGATGAAGGCTGGAGGGGAGTCGGATGAGACATGAGACGCAGAACAACAGGAAACATGAAACAGAGGCAGAGAAGACGACGTCAGATGAGATGAGGCCAAATGAGATGAAGAGAGAAAATCATTTGTTTACACGATGACAGGAAACAGGTGGGTGGATGTTTGAAGGTGAAAATAAAGTTTTCATCCAAATGTGAAAAGAAAATTTTCAAGTGGCTATTTGTAAGTTTTGTCTGCCGGGGGCAGGTGGCGTCGATCGTCACTTCACAACAGCCTCAGCCAATCGTTGTGTTTACCAGACCAGAGGCCGCTTTTGGAAAGTGACGAGACGGGCCGGGGCTAGCTGGTTAGCATGCTAACTTCAATATAAGAGTTGTCTTTGGTGTTTGTGTCCACCTCTGGAGACAGCTGCTGGTGAGTGAAGGCAGGAAGTTTGACGCTGAACTCGCATCGTTTCTTCTAGACTGGTAAGTAAACAGATGCTAATGCTAATGTTAGCTATGTAGCATTAACAAAATGTACAAATAGGAGATCAGGCGTGTTGAATCATTGATCCAGTTTAAAACATACTCGTATAAAGAAGCTTTTATTTCTTGATTTCAAGGCTTTTATCTTCGGTTTCTACCTTCTGATTTATTGATTTGATTGTTTTAACACATGTATTTGTAAATCTCCCTGTTCTACTGACTGACACTGTCTCTCTTCTCTGTGTCTTTTATCGCTTTGTTTTGTTTTGATGATTGTGATTTGTAACTGTGTTTTTGAAAAATGTTGTATAAATAAAGTTTTTATTATTATTATTATTATTAAATAGCTCCTATAAAGGACAGGACTTCTGGAACTTTGTGATGTCACAACAAAGCAGTCACCAAGCCCCGCCCACCTGGACCCACCATCCAAACCTTGCAGGATTTGGTTTCTCTGAGTGTTTTTACCTGAAATCTGCTCAAACTGGCAACCTTCAACCCTACTGCAGGATACATTAGCACCTACTAGCATATCACACTTGAACGTTGGGGGTCAGGTTGCATTATGGGTAATGTAGGCACCAGGTTTTGATTCATTTGCTACAAAACGCATAATGACTTGACCGCCAGCAGGGAGGGACTTTCTAATCATTAGCCTAATCACATCATGGGTAGTTTGAGTGTGTGTGTGTGTGTGTGTGTGTGTGTGTGTGTGTGTGGTGTGTTCTCACCACGTCCATGATCTGCAGCAGGCTGAAGCTGAAGTGCACGGTCAGGCTGTGGGAGTCGTTGTTGACCGGCCGCTCTAACGGGTTGTAGTTCCTCATCAGCTCCTTGTAGAGGCGCCGCTGGTACACCCCCTGCAGAGAGCCTACACACACACACACACACACACACACACACACACACACACACACACACACACACACACACACACACACACACACACACACACACAGGTTGTTTTAATCCACCAAATAACCAAAGTGATGCTTGGTATGCAGCGGACTCTGTTGTTACATCACTGATCCAGGAGCTGAGGACTCTGAATGTTTCTCTCTGGATGAAATGTAAATTTTAATCCTGTTACTCTCTCTCTCTCACACACACACACACACACACACACACACACACACACTCTGGCTGCAGTTACAGACTCTGTACGGTCACAGAGACATGTTCATTTAAATGAGTAAATCTGACTTTTAAGGCTCATTCACCAACTCATAAAGTCAAGGTCTTCATAAACAGCAGATAGAAATCCTGCAGTTTCCTGAGTGTGTGTGTGTGTGTATGTGTGTGTGTGTGTGTGTGTGTGTGTGTGTGTGTGTGTGTGTGTGATCTGCTCTGACAAACAATAACCGAGGGAGGCAGGAACGAGAAGAAGAAGAGTGAAGACAACATGTTGTGAGTATGGAGGTTTATTACAGGAGGAGTAGTAAGTATAAAGTATTTATGGTTTTGTACTTTTCTTATTCTTATACTTCAACAATCACTTTAAGTTTGTTCAACTGTTACATAAAAGCCCTTAAGTTAAGATTTTCCTTAAAATCTGAGTTAATTTAACAAAACACCCTCCGGTTTTCTCCTTAAGTGTTTAAGGTTTTCTCCTTATTTTAGTCTTAAACTTCAGCGATCCCTTAAAGTCGCTTCAATTGTTGCACAAAACACCTTAAGTATTTAATTTTTCACCCTATCTTAGTCTTATCTTAAGGAATCACTTAAAGACTTGAGGGGTCAGAGTTCACCTGGTGAAGGTCCCGTCAAAGAAACAGGAAGAGGAGTCAGCAGCGCTCTTCTCTAATGGGACCCGCTTCCCAAAAGTGTTAACAGGTGTCACAAGCGCTAATGGCAGTAAACAACCTGTCTCCATGGAAACAGTAGAATTTTACTGCTGTAAAATCTCTTTCTCTGCTGTAAATTACTTAACGTTTCTTCCTTAACTAAGGAAACCTTTTAAGAGATTCTGTACAGCTCCCTGAGCTGAGGAGAAATTAACCCTTAAGCATCAGACTTAAGTGGAGAACTTAAGGTGTTTTCAGGTCCTGAACCTCTGTCCTCTGTCTTTAAGGCTCAGAGCAGTGAGATCCACCGTTCAAAGGTCTGAGTGAGTTTCTCTCCTGATCAAACGCACCACGGACGCATCAACCTCAACGGAGGTGAAAGCTCGTCGGGATGATTGACGGGTGCTGGGTGAGACCTGGACTGACGGGGGGGGGGTGACATGAGTGGAGTCGCTCCGCTCATCTTCACTCATTCTGTTTCAGTGTTTCGCTGATTTTCTAACAGAAAAACTGGTTTAAGATTTAAACACTGAATCAACTGTCTTCTTTTTTTAAATTCCATTTTTGCGTCTTTGCCTTTCTCCCAGTGGATGGACAGGAGAGACGCACCAGCGACTTCCTGCACATCAACCCGTAAAGATGGGGACGATAGGAAGACGCACCCCGGACGCCATCTTGCTTTTGATCTGTACAAACTAGATATTTATGTTGCTCTGACTTTAACTCAACTTAAGATTTGTTTAAAAATATTATTTCAACGTTATAATCACTGATATTTAATTAAACGCTGTACCATCGGTGCAGATACTTAGCCTACACTAGCGAAGAATTAAAGCTAGCAAGCTAGTGCTACAACAAGCTAACATTTGAGCGAAGTTAGCTTCCACCTCTGCCTGTGTCTCCGACTTCATCTGCATCTGTGTCCACATCTGTCTGACCGCTGCACAGGAAATAAAAGACGCTGTTTTCATTTTGCTTTTTTCCAGCCGAGGAAGTGAAAGTTAAAAACTCGGGTTTAATGGGATTGAAGCAACAGAGCTGCAGAACCAGAGGAGATAATAACACATCTGACTTTAAACCGTCTGATTCAAATATGTTCTGACAGCCGAACGTATTTTGTGCAAGTTTCCAATTTATGCAAAAAGAAAAGAGAAAAGAAAGTTTTTAAGTTCAGAACATGAGGCCTCCAGTGAAAAGAGGAAACCCTCAGCTGTGTGGAGCGATGATGATGATGATGATGATGATGATGATGATGAGGCTGGAACCTTCCTCACATCAAGACATGACACAAACAGAAATGTCACATGTTCTCCAGCGCTGTTAATGAGCATCTTCTTCTTCTTCTGTGGTGGTTTTAATGGCAGCTGCTGGAGAGTCAGACTCATCAGACTTAGCGGAGGCGGGAAACGAGCGTTCACAGACTCATTGTTTTTGCTCATTTTCTGGACATTCAGTTAAAATGTTTGACTTGAAGTAAAGAGGTTTTTAATTAAAGGTGCTGCAGACAGACGACGGAGGTGTTCGTGTTAAAAACAGACAATCAGAGAATCACTTCACACTAATTACAGCTCTGACGTTTCCAACGTGGTGATTTTAGACTTTTATTTTTCCTCTTAAATGATTTTCACCTTGTAAAACTTGACTTTGTTTTGTTTCTGTCTATTGAGTTTTTTATTTCACATTTTTATTTATTTAATATTCTAATAATCTTCTTCACGAGTTGGTAACATGAAAATATGGAGTTGACATTTGCATCTTGTGTCTTTTTGTTTTAGAAATAATTTGTCATCAATCACTAAGATGCTGTTTTTTAAAAAAATTTTAATTCTCTATAAATAATTATTATCATTATTATTATTATTGAATATTTCAGTTGTTTTCATCCGTTCAATCTGCTGCTCAGTGAGTTAAAGACAGAACCAGAACTAAACCACTGGACTGATTCATTCAGGTGAAGTGTGTGTGTGTGTGTGTGTGTGTGTGTGTGTGTGTGTGTGTGTGTTGAGCCTACCGTGGATGAGGCAGCAGAGCGTCAGGACGTGCAGGGTGAAGATCCGAGCGTCCATCCTCAGCAGCCGCGAGTCACAGAGGAGAGAGACCGACTGGAGTTCCTCCTGAAGCAGCGGAAAACACCAGAGAGAGAGAGAGAGAGAGAGAGAGAGAGGGGAGGATGAATGGAGGGGGAGAGGGGGAGAAGAGAATGCTCCTCCCCCCAAAAACATCCAGAGAAGAAGATTCTGTGTGTGTGTGTGTAGAGGAGAGAGAGAGAGAGAGAGAGAGAGAGAGACCTGCTCTAAAAGGTGGATGGCTTACTTGATGATTTATTGGATGTTTTTAGGTTTTTAAGCTCATCACTGATAACAAGCATTTTTACATTGAAGCTGTTCAAAACCAATATTCCTTTTTTTTTTTTTCACCACCTCATCATTAAAGCTCCTCCAGTGTAAAGGTCTGTGTCCATGTGTAGTGTGATTATAGATCAGCTCTAGCTTCTATATTAATACTGTGAAAGTATCAAAGCCTCAGTCCACAGAGAAATGCACACAGCCTGTATTCAGAAACTGAGCCTTAAAACCAGCCGTCAGGACTTCTGGAACTTTGTGATGTCACAACAAAGCAGTCACCAAGCCCCGCCCACCTGGACCCACCATCCAAACCTTTACAGGATTTGGTTTCTCTGAGTGTTTTTACCTGAAATCTGCTTTATTTTTATTGGATCACTCAGAAAACAGTCAGCCAATCAGAAGAGAGGCTCAGAGCCTCCTCTCTTCTGATTGGCTCACCGACCTGTTGTTACTAGAGCTCCAGAGAGAAGCCTGAGAGAGGAGATGTAAAACTACACTGAGATGGTTTTTATATCTTCTGATGGATCAATACTTCAAATAAAACACAGAAGAAGAAGAAAACATTTCTCTGTTTGTTTCAATGACTGAACGAGTAGAAAACAGTGATGAGATGATGAATGTTTCCTCTGGTCCAGATGAACTGTGATGATATTTAGATTGAACATAATTATCATTTCAACACCATTAAATGATTCTGTTTTCATGTGAAACTCTGAACAACAGATAGATACTAACATCAGATGAGAAACACTCACTCGCTTGATGGAGGTAAATATTTGCTTTTGAATGTAATTCCTGTACTAAAGGAAAAGCGTCTGAATTTGTCACCGCAGGTTTTCCTGAATTACAGATCACAACAGGAAGCGTCATCGCCATCGCCGCGTGTCGCTGCGTGTTCAGGTTCAGCAGAAGTTTTTCACACATGAACAAACCAAACTCCCTCAGGGACAAACCTCCGCAGTCAGCCACCTTCAGACCCTCATTCACACTGTTCTGCTGACTGCACCGGCAAGAACCCGAGGACACCGAGACCTGCTGGGCCTCACACACACACACACACACACACACACACACACAACACACACACACACACACACACACACACACACACGGCCACCTCCCCACAGATAGAAATCTGAGCATGTTTGATGTGATGTTTCCCAGAACATTTTGTCTTCAGCAGAGACGTTGTTCTCTTCAGACAAATACAAGTGTTGCTCCAACGTCTTTACAAATCTCTGCTTAATATTTAAATGTGAAAATCTTCTAAAGCTTGTTTTGGACATTTCTTTTTTTTACCATCTCAGAGACGAGTTTCCTCCGAGCAGTCGGTCTGCAGAGACTCAGGACGGGACGTTACTGAAGTCGACACAATGGCAGCTGGTAACAAGAATAAAACACAGGCTGACTGAACAGCGATGCGGCGTCGAGCTGCAGCTGTAAACCGCAGGAGTCGGCTGTGCGCTCGTTAATGTTAAATGCACAGTCTATAACTTCTTCTTCTAGGCGTCGCTCAATCGAATACAATAAGAAAAGACGGCGTTGGGTGACGTCGTGAAACAGCGCGGGATCATGGGAGTTCAGTGTCTGTGTTTCAGGTGAATGAAGCAGCTTCACATTTGAAGTCAGAGTCTGAGCGACGCTGTACGGAGGACAGAGACTCAGGGAAGAGTCAGAGCTGAGACTGATGCTAACCTTTGTTCTGACTGTTTCTCTGATCGCTCATGAAGCAGACGTTCAGCAGGTTTTGACCAGCAGCTGAATGATCCTCAGAGGTTTCCTCCTCTCCACAACAAACACACCAGGAGATTAAAACCAGGAGAAACCAAAGTGTTGAAAATAATACGTCAACAAGATCACAAAGTAAAGCAGAACCTCAATACTGTCGGACAGAAACGCTCGGTGCTAACGCAGGTAGCAAAATGAGTCCGGCCCATATACTCGCACATCTGGGCAGATTGCAGCTGTTATCTTCTGGTAATGACTTGGTGCATCTTACAATCGTGCTGTATATGGGCCAGACTCGGGCCGTGGGACCGGGCCTACACTGGGCCAGAAGCAAACAAGCATGTGGCTGAGGGACGACACAGCTTCTGTAGCGGTGAGTTACTGCTCCTCACTGCTGCCGCTCTCTTCTCCCTCTCCGTCTACTGCACCTCCTTCATGTTTCACCGCCGCTCTGAATCTACAGCAATTAGACGTGTTGACGTTCACTCGTTTCTCATCGTCTCTGCCAGAATATTTCAGAGAGCTCGGTGACTTCCTGTGTGAGTCTCAGGTGAGTGACAGCAGAGTGAGGAACAGGCTGCAGCTCCGGCGAGGACTCGCTCGACTCTGGAGGAAGGAAACGAGGATAAGAAACAACAAACTTCCTTCACGCTTCATGTGATGAATTCTCTCCTCAGCTCTGTGGAAAGTTGTTTTTCACACCAGACAGGAAGTAAAACAGCTTCTTCTATTTTTAGCTGCAAAAGATGCTGGAAGTGACTTAAAGAAACACTCTTACTCTCCTTAAACATGTTGAAGTTTCCCCTCGCATTCAGAGTCTCTGGATGAAAACCGAAAACCATCGGAGTCTTCCTCGCCGAGGTCAAAAGGTCACGACGTCACTCACTGGGTAAAAACTTTGAATAAACAAGTAAATTTGAGCTGAATCCCCGGAGTGAGAGCTTTCCTCTGCTCCGCTGAGCATGATATAAACTCATGATTAATTTGCTAATTAGAGCTGAATAATGAGATCGTTTTCTTAATGAGCGTCTCCATTAGAGACATTACTGATAATCAGCGGGCGGCTCACAGAGCGAGGAGACTCAGCTGCTGCAGATCCTGTGAAAACAACAGCACATGCTCGTCACTGAGGATATCATGTTGTGCGGCTGTGTGTTTACCTGATGGCAGTAATACTGTCATGTGCACGGCGTCCAGAGACAGATGGGTTTAATTCTCAGGATGTTTCCCAGCATCCTCTGCTCCCGCTCTGCAGTTTATTGCCAGCGCAGCCTACAGCGGTAATGAGAGACAAACCAAAACATGAAAGCTGAGCATCTGCAAGTTTCAGCAACTCAAAGCTCCAGAAAATCCTGACGGAACAAAAGCTGATGAGGTAAAAAACAAAAAAACAAACTGAAGATATTTTACACCTGGTGGGAAAAACAGACAGAAAGTCAAACACCTGTAACTGGAGTGAAATCACCGTGAAGTCCAGATCAACAAGCCTGAGCAGCAGCAGCACGTTCACGTCCAACAGAGGAAACATGAAGGAACCCTGAGCCTGCACTGCCGCCTGGTGGAGGAGCAGAGAACTGCACCCTCCATCACAGCTGCACAAGTGGCTTCAACACTGAATATTCAAGCAGCTGAAGCACAAGTTGATTTTTGCTCAGTCCCACACAGAAGTGGATTAATCCTGAAACTATGTCTCTGTTGTGTTTTTCAGCAGGAGCCAATGAGCTGAGAGACACGTGGTGATTCGTCGACAATAAGAAAAATTAAAGTAAAACCAGCCGTGAACATGTGACTCTTCTTCTACACTACATTTCCTACATTTCCCAGAAGGCCTTTCAGCATCTCTCACAGATCCAAACCTCCTACAAACAGCTGATTCTTATTCTACAACTTAAACATCAACAATAATCTGAATCCCAGTGACGGGACATATATTCATTCAGATTTTCTTTTAATCCAATTACATGTACAGGTGAGGTGAGGTGAGTTCATGTGGGACAGGTAAGTAAACACAGCGACACAGAGACCTGTCCAGACGCAGATACTGATACAGAAGAGTTTAGAAAGTGTCTTTATGTAGATCATCAGTGTTTAAATGAAATTAAATCTTATTATAAAGATTTTGCTCTTGTTTCGTTGA